TAATGTGCCAGACTGCAAAGCCGTTTGAACTGCAAGGTTGGCAGTTCAAACTCACCAGCTGCTCCTCGGAAACCCTATACAGGGTCACTCTGGGTCAGAAATTACTCGACAGCACTTAACAACAACAACAGCACACACACACACACACACACACATATATATGTATATGAAACAATTCTGGAAATTAAAGAATAGAATAAAATAAGGATTCTGGGTTAATCTCAGATTCCAAAAGCCTAACCCTCTAGACTGTGGCATGACTGCCTGTACCTATTGTACCTCCATGACTGTTTCCTCTTTCTTCCCCAGGCTTGTTAGAGTGCTGTGCAAGATGTCTGGTAGGAGCCCCCTTTGCTTCCCTGGTTGCCACTGGATTGTGTTTCTTTGGGGTGGCCCTGTTCTGTGGCTGTGGACATGAAGCACTCACTGGCACAGAAAAGCTAATTGAGACCTACTTCTCCAAAAATTACCAGGATTATGAGTATCTCATCAATGTGTAAGTATCTGTTCTCCCACACAAACCCACCTCTTCTTCCCTCTCTCCTTCTTGGGAATACAGAATTCATCAGTATCCTTGTGACTAGTAGGGGATGAGTGTACAGCAGATAGGATTCTGCATCTTCTCACTTCTTCCATATCTGACTCCCTAAAGGAGGGGGTAGGGCCAGATTTAGAAAGGGGGACTCTACCTGCTAGGCAGCCCACTCACTCTCCAACTCCTCCCTGTTTTCTCACACGTTTCCATCTAACTTGTGCTAAGTATGATTAATATTGAGTTGGTGCCTCTACGTTGGTAGATATGAAGAATTCTGGGAGGCACAATGACTGGACAGAGTGGGATCGCTACACTTGATTTGATACTGCTTGACTCTGCCCAAGCCCAGTAAAAGTCTCTCCTGTTACTACGGCAAATTATGCTTTTTGTCTATCTCTTCTTACCACTGAGGTAACATCTCTGCAGGGTCAGGCAAGGAGAGTAGGACATTGGTTCTTCAGGTCACAGAGTAAGCCTGGTGTGGGGGAAGGACCATGTGCTTCTGACCACATACTCCCTGTCTTCCTTTACTTCAGTAAAGATAAGTTGGAAGTATGGAGGAAGGAATCCTAGAGATTCTTCCAAAGGATCCCTGTCTTGTTAAGGTGCCCACCTCACTTGAAAATTTTTGTGTTTGTCGATCTATTAATGCAGGATCCATGCCTTCCAGTATGTCATCTATGGAACTGCCTCTTTCTTCTTCCTTTATGGGGCCCTCCTGCTGGCTGAGGGCTTCTACACCACCGGCGCAGTCAGGCAGATCTTTGGCGACTACAAGACTACCATCTGCGGCAAGGGCCTGAGTGCAACGGTAACAGGGGGCCAGAAGGGGAGGGGTTCCAGAGGCCAACATCAAGCTCATTCTTTGGAGCGGGTGTGTCATTGTTTGGGAAAATGGCTAGGACATCCCGACAAGGTGATCATCCTCAGGATTTTGTGGCAATAACAAGGGGTGGGGGATAAATGGGCGTGAGTCTGTGGTCTCGCTCTCACCCAAGGCTGGGTCCTCTCTAGGGGCCTGGCTTTTGAGTGAAGAAGTGATGGCTACAGCCGAACGAGAAGGTCAGGAAGAACGTGGTGCCCAGCTGGCTTAGCCTCACCTTTCAAGCATTCCCTAGAAAATTCTGTCTCAAAATGAAAAGCAAGAGTTTTGTGATATGCTTTTCACAATTAGACCATTTCTAAGCCATCTGTTGGTATGTTCTTACTCTCCTCCTAGCAAGGACCACAAGAGTGGACCTGACTGCACAGGAGTCCAAAATGCTATTCATGGGATTGAGATTTAGGCCTGATTTAATGTAAATTGAATAACTGAATTTACAATACTCTGAGGTCTTACACTGTTGGAGGTCCCAGAGGGAACTAGATTAAATCTGCATATTCGATTTCATCCAAGGGCTATTAATACTTCTAGCAAGACACACTGGTTTTCAATCTCTAGAGTTAAAGATCCTTGGGGGTGGGGGTGGGGGTGGGGAACTGAACATGTATAGGTTATGGTGATAACTTTCATTTTGTGGCCAGATGTTGGCTTAGAAAGGTTTTTGGATCTTAAATTTTAATCTCCAATTGGCTTTGTTCAATGACTAGGGACCAGGAGTCCTATGGCAGGGAATATTTTCTCTAAGTTTAGCCTAAAGCATGAAATGGCACGACTTTCTTTCAAGATCTGTTTTGTTTTCTTTACACCTTATCTGCCCAGAAAGTCCCCTGAAGCCTCTCTAACCCAGGGATCCATCTCACTCCAACCCCTACCTGCTCCCCCCACCCTCTGTCACACTTGGGGCCAGTTCTCTAGTTGATACTGCCAAGAATGCTTGCCAGCCATACTCTGTTCACTAATTTCAGTTGGTGGAGATCCCTGGAATCTGGTTTTGTGTCTGGCACATGCCACTCCAGGATCTCCCAATTTGTGTTTCAACATTTGCAGACTGGTTCTGATTGCTAATCACCTCATGTCAATCATTTTAGTTTGTGGGCATCACCTATGCCCTGACTGTTGTATGGCTTCTGGTATTTGCCTGCTCTGCTGTGCCTGTGTACATTTACTTCAACACCTGGACTACCTGCCAATCTATTGCCTCTCCCAGCAAGACTTCTGCCAGCATAGGCAGTCTCTGTGCTGATGCTAGAATGTATGGTGAGTTAGGGCATGGGTGACTTGGTTCCTCTATGTCTTATGGGGGCATTATATGTTTAGTTCTTTTCTGGGATGTATAGGGTGGTGGCTATGGGAAAAAGATAAGACTAGAGGTGCCTGGGTCTTAGTTTGGTGATCCTTCTCCAGTGATCCTTCTTAAGGGAACTTCTTGATAGTGGTGAGAGTTTTCTTGGCTGAACAACTTTAGTCGACTTCTGTTCCCAATTCAGAAGCAGCACATTTCAATAACAAATACAAGATGAAACAACTTTCCAATAAGAGAATAGGATCTTGATTATTGGTAAGATCCAACTTTTCAGCCAGGATGATTAGAGATGGAAGCAAGGCTCTGGAAGAAAGTCTCTATGTGGCCCCATGACGCCATCAAATTTACCCTGGTAAATGTGTGTCTTGCTTAGGTGTTCTCCCATGGAATGCTTTTCCTGGCAAGGTGTGTGGCTCCAACCTTCTGTCCATCTGCAAAACAGCTGAGGTCAGTGGGCTATTTGAGTTATTTTACAATAGAATGGTTTGTTGTTATTGTTGTTAAGTGCCATCCAGTGGGTTCTGGCTCATAGTAACTCTGTATAGGGTGTCTGAGGAGCAACTGGTGAGCTTGAACTGCCAACTTTGCGGTTCAAATGGACTTCGCAGTACAGTGCGTTAACCCATAGCGCCACATCAGGACAAATTCCTACCCATGTCATTGAATTTTAAGGATCAGAGTATCGCTTTGCTGGATTTTTTTTGTACCAGATTGCCTTCTATAAAATATTGGCAGAATATGCCTGAGCCAATGAACAAAGATGCTAAAATATCTACTTTTCCTAGAGCTTCATAGAAAGACTTTCATTCTAAAACTTCCCCCCTTAAAAAAGAAATTGGTAGCTTTAAGCAAAAATAGTTTAATGGCAAAATTCCCCAAATGAAAATTTTCATTCTTTTAGCTAAAACAAGTAAATAATACAAAACAAAATAAACTTTTCAAATAAGTAGGCTGTGCACAGAGACATTCATAGGTTTTAGAAAACAGTTTTTCCATTTTGGAATTGCTTAATCTCTAATGAGAGATTAAAATTTTTTTTGAAAAAGGAAAGTTCGGTCTTGATGAGACAGGGTGATAAAAGTAAATCCTGTGGAGGAAGGTAGTAAACTGTTTCTTGAAAGCAAAATGGGACCCTGGAGAAGACTGTAAGGATTATAAGGTTACACTATTTTATGAGTGCTCTGTGTTGGTGATATGATATACACTGAAGAATAAGATGCATACACTCAGAGAAGTAACAGTTTAATTAAGGATCCAGCGTTGACACACAGGAAAAATATCAACATGTTTAGAAAACTCCATTCATGATCTATAGCAGAGCATTTCTTTGGTGTTGTGAGAAACAGTTTTCCTTCTTGCATTTTCTTGCAGTTCCAAATGACTTTCCACCTGTTTATTGCTGCATTTGTTGGGGCTGCAGCCACACTGGTTTCCCTGGTGAGTTGCCTTTGAATGTCTTTGGCAAATAAATGGTCCTGAGATAGCTTGGGTGCAGCTATGCTTGAAGGGCCAGAAGATAGACTCCTTCCAACTTTTGGATGCTGGAGAGAAGCTATTGCAAGGAGATGGTTAGCAAAAAGTATAGCAATGGTGTAGTTCTCTGTGGAGTTTGAGTTCTAAAGTCAGAAATTAGACAGGGACAAGAAAAACGGTGTGAAAAAAGAGGTGGTGATAGATTCATAGCTATGAACTGAACATTTAGCATTTGCAGAACATGTAATGCTGCCAAGTGCTTTGTAGTCATAAATTACAGTTAATTCTTAACACATCCTGGTCAGATCAGACAGGAATAGTGAAACATCACTAAACATGATTAGCTATAGTTTGGAATTCCATATACTGCAAATATGGATCTATCTTAGTCTCTCTCCAAGGGATTTAGTTACTCTCATGAAAATACTGGAAGGACTTCCTAACATTATTTGAATTGTTATTACCTATAAAGTGATCATACGTCCTAGATCCTACCGATGTTACAGCACAGTGTCAATGTAGTACATGCATTGTGCAGATTAAAAACCTAAGTCAGCTTTTCTGAAATCATTCAATTAATTTATGACAGGACAAAGATTAGCTTGTAGAACTCCTGGTCCCTACTGCCTGGGCTTTTATATAAAACTGTGTTGCTTCTTACCTTGTAAAAATAAACTGCTATATCATGCAGAAGAGGGCTGGGCTGCACAGTGTGGGTCTGCAATGAGCATCCATTGACTCCAGATCACTCAGACATGTGGGCATGTATTGTCTACTTCCCTGAGGAAACCACAGTGCAAACTAAGCATGTGTGAAATAGATCCTTGTTGATATTCTGGGCCTGAGCACTGGAAGGCAATGTTTCAGAGAAGACTTTCAGTCATGTATATGGAGAGAAAGCCTGGGAAGTCCCTTTCTTGTTCTCAAAAGGATTTGAAGAGGCAAGAAAGATCTCCCTTTTCTATGCTCACTGATATTCTCTCTTCTCTTCCCGACAGCTCACCTTCATGATTGCCGCCACTTACAACTTTGCTGTCCTCAAACTCATGGGCCGAGGCACCAAGTTCTGATCTCCTATAGAAACGTCCCTTTCTCTAACAGCGAGGCTCTAACCACACAGCCTACACTGCTGCGTCTCCCATCTTAACTCATTGCCTTTGCCACTGACTGGCCCTCTTCTTACTTGACGAGTGTAACAAGAAAGGAGAGGCTTGCGATGATTAATGTCTCTCTATGGACTCTCCCCTCTTCTGTACCTCTTTTAGTCATTTTGCTTCACAGCTGGTTCCTGCTGGAAATGGGAAATGCCTAAGAAGATGACTCCCCAACTGCAAGTCACACAGAAATGGAGGCTTTAATTGAATTTTCAAGCATCTCCTGAGAACCAGGCAATACTTTCTTCTCACAGGGCACTTCCACTGATGGAAAACTAAGTGGAGAGGAAGATGCTCACGTAGAGAGAAGGAAATTACTTGGTCCACTTGCCATTTAGAGGGGCCAAATTTATTCCTTCTTGATGTACAAAACAGAGAACTCGCTCCTGTCTCCCTGTTACTACTGAAGGATGGAAGAAAAAAGAATGCCAGCAAAACACTAAGAGCATTTGCCCAAATCCGCCTATTACAGCTGGGAGAAGGGAATCAAAGCAAGGATCTTTCACTCACAGAAAGAGAGCACTGATCCCTGATGGTGATAGACTATTTAAGCCCTAACTCAGTCAACCTTACTTATAGCATAAGAGAGCATAGTATCTGTGTAGACAAAGGGGGCACCTGGCCTTACAGCTTGTTAAGAGAAGAAAATGAGGTTGTTGTCAGTATCTTCTCACTCCCTTTTCCTTTATAACAGCTACCATGACAACCTTGTGGTTTCCAAGGAGCTGAAAATAGATGGAAACTAGCTTACATGGAAAAGACTGGTCTAAGGAGCAACAGTTGCTGGTGGCTAACAGTGTAATCCAAGAGGGCCCTCTGGTAGACACAGGATAGATAACTCTTTGGATAGTATGGCATTTGTTTTTCCAGTTAACTAGTGTGTACTTTGGCCTCTGTTAAATCTTCACAATGGTGCTCTTTTCATGGGGTATTATCAATTCTGTCATTGTAGGTGATTTGCAGATCTGATTTGTTTCAGAATGGTGTACATTTCACATTTCCTAATTTGTTTGTCACTTACAACACGTTTGCAGTTGTACCAGAAAGGTCTGGAGAAAGAGTCTTTGGTTAGGATTCTTAAAAAAAAATGAAAATTGGACATTAAGCATCATGAAAGATATTTGAAATTGACTAGTTCTATACATCTATTGGAATTTTCTACAACTAATTCTGTCCTCCGCAGAAATAGATTTGGTGAGCCACAATTTGAATAACCTATTTGGCCATTCTAGCTAGCTGAAGATGATTTGATTTAGTAATTTTATCTTGTGTGTTAAAGAGTCAGGTTTAACACAAAGGTTATTTTCTCTTGGTATAGATTACATACAGAATACACCAGCCACCAGCTATTTATAACTGGTAAGCTTCCATGGAAAAGGACAGGCAGAAAGAGTTTGAAACCTGAATAGCTTCCAGATTTCAGTCTTTTTTTCCTGTTTCAAACTTTAGATTTTAAAAAGTCTGAGTAGTCTTTATCTAAGGAAATATTTTAAGGGTATGACTGTCACTCTTTTGTTATAAAAAGTTGTTTTTTTTTTTATTCCCTAAAGTGGTTTCATCAATATTTAAGGGGATCGAAGATCTTTGCAAAAAGACACTTGGCATTTTTTTTCAGACCCATATACAAGATAGGCTTCCAGGCTGCATAGAGGGAGGAGAAAGAAAAGATTCTGTAAGAAACCAATCAAGATCAAGGAAAGTGAAGTAATTCATGCCTTGTGTTTTGTTTTGATTTAATAACTTAACAAATAACCAACCATTCCTTGAAAACTTTACATGTATACATACACACATATACAGATACAGAGAGTTAATCAACTGAAAGTGTTTCCTTCATTTCTGATAAAGAATTTCAATTTTAACACACGTAAATATAAACTTTTAGAAGCCTGTCTTACAAAATGTATTTTATAAAATTAAAGAAAATAAAATTAAGAATGTTCTCAAACACCATGTCCTTTGAATGACTTGTTCTCTTTGTCTCCACAAAAACCAAAACAATAAAAACCAAATTTCTTGCCATGGAGTTGATTCTGACTCATAGTGACCCTTCAGGACAGGCTAGAACTGCCTCATAGGATTTTTAAGGTTGTAAAGTTTTACAGAAGCAGATTGCTACATCTTTCGACTGTGGGTTTGAACGATGGGTTTTAACGATGGGTCAGTTAGCAGTCAAGTACTTAACCGCTGCTCCACCAGGGTTTCTTTGACTCCACATTATTATTGCTGCTGTATGCTGCCGAGTCAGTTCTGACTCCTGTCGAGGCTATAAATCTTTATAGAAGCAGAATGTCTCATCTTGCTCCTATGGAGGGGTTGGCAGATTCAAACTGCTAACCTTGTGGTTAGCAGCCCAATATCTATCCCACTACACCACCAGAGTTCGTTTGACCCCACATTAGAAACCCTAATAATGATAGCTTTTATTGAGACTTATTCTTTATTTTTTCCCCATCATCAAAGTTATTCTAGCAACAATTTTCTGAAATACCCACTGCTGTCAAGTCAATTCGGACTCAGGGATCCTATAGGAAAGAATAGAGCTACTTGTTAGGGACTCGGAGACTGTAAATAAATCTTTACAGGAGTAAACTGCTATACCTTTCTCCTACAAAGCAGGTGGTAGATTTTAAGTGCTGAACTTTTGGTTAGTGCTTTAACCACTGTACTACCAGGGATCTTCTTTTCTGAAACAGTAAATGGTGGTGATGGTGATATGCCATGGAGTCGGCTCCTACTCAAAGTGACCATGTATAGGGTTTCCAAGGATATAAATCTTTATGGGAGAAGAAAGCCTCATATTTCTCTTGTGGAGCAACTGAATAGATCTAGTAGAGACACTAGGAAGCAGAAGTGAATTATCCAAGAAACCCAATAAGTAAATGTCTGAATTTGGTCTAGAACTCAGGTCTTTTGACATCACTTCATTGACTGTTTTAAGGTTTGTTTACTCTAAGAACTTGGGTTTCAGGGTATTCTGTTCATTCTAAACCAAATATGGTTACTTCCTTAATATGATAATGGTGTCCCAGCCCCTGGTGTGTTTAGGATTGGGTGATTGTTAGCTTTTCTTTTAATTGTTTGGATATTCTAATCATGAGTCCTTAGTGTATATTATACATGAAAAATACTTAGTTTTATCTGGAAAACACTGAATGAGAGGTATAATGTAGGTAGAGCAGAGATTTGTTGTTGTTGTTAAGTGCTATCAAGTCAGTTCCAACCAATAGTGACCCTCTATAGGGTTTCTGAGGGAGTCCTGGTGTGGCACTGTGGGTTAATGCCCTAGACTGCAAAGTCAGTTTGAACTGCAAGGTTGGTGGTTCAAGCTCACCAGTTGCTCCTTGGAAACCCTCTAGAGGGTCGCTATGGGTCGGAACCGACTCAATGGCATTTAACAGCAACAACAACATAGGGTTTCTGAAGAGAAGCTGGTAAGCTTGAACCATCGATCTTGTGGTTCAAACCGACTTTGCAACCCAGCACATTAACCCACAGTGCCACACCAAGACTCCAGAGCAGAGATAGGGCAATGTAAATTTAAACAGGCTTGGGAAGGCAGAATTAAAATCAGTCAGAGACATAGACACCTCAAGGAGCTCTGGTAGCATAGTGGTTCTGAGTTGGGCTGCCAACCTCAAGGTTAGCAGTTCGAAACTACCAGTGGTTCCACTGGAGAAAGATGAGGTATTCTGCTCCCGTAAAGGTTTATAGCCTCGGAAACCCTGTGCAGGGTCACTATGAGTTGGAACTGACTCCATGGTACTTAACAATAACAACAAACCCTGGGTGGCCAGCCTACTGGTACACCTGAGACATAGCATTAAAGCACTGTCACAACCCTGAACACTCTTGGCAGCACTCTAATGACCAACCTGAAGGAAAAAAAAAAAGACTTGAAATTAGCTGTCTATTCCTTGTTCTATAGTTGCATCTGGCAAGGAACATGATTAGAGAGAAAGGAGACTAACCGGGGATGGGGGTGGAGTGGGGAAGACACATAATTCAGACATCAATTATGGAGCTCTATTCAAAAGTTGTTTCAATTTAATCTGCTTTCTGCTTCACCACAATTAATATTCTGTAAGTAAGTCTGGTCAGATGACTTTAAGACAAAAAGAAGAAAATGACTTATTTTTAAACACTGGCAAATAAGGACACAGCACCATATTTTAGATAATTGATTCAGGGGGCTATAGAGTAAATGTATTGTTGCCTCAGAGGAGTCAAAAGCCAGTTCCTAAGAAAGCTGTGTTCTCCATCTGCCCTTATTTGGCTCTGCCCTCTGGGACGGATCTATAGATGGAGTTTCCAGGCTCTCAGAAGCTGAGAGCATCTCCACTCTATCAATTGAGCCCATTGTTCTTAGCTCTCCCACACATTATAAACCTCCTTTCTCTAAATTGAAAGAGCTCTCTTTGTGTTTAGACCAACCAAAGATCAAGATGCAGCAGTGTAAACAAGAAACATTTTCTTATTGCATCAGTTGTATTGCTTTTCCTATCTTCAGGATCAGTATTAAGTATAGTCATGCAGGGGGTAGAAGCTTAAGCTTTGTCCAGAACAACATTTGTTCATTCATTCATTAACTGCACAAACATTTCTTGAGCTACTTCTAAGTTTTGCACTAAACCTTGGGAGTTTCAAGTTTGAAGTGCATTGGGTAGAAAGGTAATGAACGCATGATCTTACACTCAAAGATTGCACTTGAGCTCAGCCAAGACAGAGAGGTCTCCAAGGGTGGACTTGAGTGGAGGCAGAGAGCATGCAAGAAGCAATCTGACCTGCTGACTGCAATGGGCATCTGAACTCTCCCCCTCAGTCTGTGGGAGAGGTCATGGTTAAGGGCCATGACTTCACATGGTTCAAGTTTTCTAAGGCCCTGATAAAAACAAAACTTCAATTTAGAGTCCTGACAACTTGTGACTTGCTTTCCCTAAGTCACCCTGCCTCTTCCCTTACATGTGACAGCATTTATGCACACACTGGCACAATGCATGTGCATGCCTCCACCCACTCAGTCATTTGGGGAGTCAGAAGGCATATAGATAGGATTTAAATAAACACAGGCTATTCAGTTTGACTTGTCCTCTCTATCAAGGCTAAATCTGAGAAGCCAAGAAAGAGTAATATGATACAAGGTTCTTCTCTCTCTGAATATTAAGTAACAAATGGAAGAAAGACTCATTCTCCTATTTTAAAAAATAATCAACATCAGGCAAAAAGCTCAAGTCACTATCTATAATTTAAGAAGAATCTTCTTGTTCAGCGACTTACTTTTTTTTTAGAACAAAGTCACACTCATATATATATATAATTTTTTTTTCTTGCAGAGTTTGGTGTCTATGGTGTTTTTCCTCTAGTCCTCCTTGAATTGATCTCCTTTATTCCAACAAAAGAAAAATAAGATAAAGTCAAGACTATTTTCCAGAGTACAAAATAACCAAAGGAAATCCAGTCTTTGCTTTATTCAAACCTTCAACAAATATTTATTTAACAAATTCTCTGTGCCAAGTGTTTTGCTAGGTGCTGGCAGTTAGAGCAACAAATTAAACATACATAATCGCTGTTCTCGTGGACTAAAGACTAAAGATATTAGGAATGAAGATAAGAGGCATGATGAAAAAGACTAACATCCGTTGACAGGAAAAGATAGAATTGTGAAGATACTTATACAGCCCAATGAGACACAAAGGGCCAAGTAAAAGAAGACATAGGCATGCAAGTTGGTATCTAGACAAAGGGACCTGACGTGCTATTGGTATTTGGGGTTGTAAACAATGATACCAACCATTTCTTCCACAGTACTTTCTACTCAGCTAGGTTCCGTAATTCACTGCAGTGGTCACACAGGACTCAGACACCTTACACAGTGTGAGGGCTAATTATGAAAATCAACAGGTTACAATACAGGGTCAGAAATGCCCATGGCACAGTCCCACCCTCAACTGTGCTATATTTGTGGTTCAAAGTGATTTTGCAGTCCAACACATCAGCCCATAGTGCCACACCAGGACTCCTAGATACAAATACACCACCATAATGTCTCAGGAAAAAATAGACAACTTCAGTTCACACCAAGAAACAACACAGAATGGCCCAAACTAGTGATCAAAATAGAGCCATAAGATCTTCCTGAGGAAGAAATGACATTGGAACTACCTGATGAGGAATTCAAAACAATTATATTTAGGTACCTTAAACAGATTGATAGAAAAATCAAGAAAACTGCAGATAAAATCAAGAAAAACACAGAAGAAATCAGAAAAAATAATGAAAATATCTTAAGAAAGACTGAGGATTATGTGAGACATCATCAAGAGGAATAACTTACATGTGATCAGAATTCCAGAAAAAGAAGAGACAAAAAAAAAAAAAAAAAGGATAGAGACAATTGTTGAAGAATTGTTTGAAGAAAATATCTCTAACATCATGGAAGATGACAAGATATTCATTCAAGAAGTTGAATGAACTCTAAACATGATAGATCCCAAAAGAAAATTACCAAGACACATCATAATTAAATATTCCAAAACAAACAAACAAAATAAGTAAAGAATCCTCAAGAGCAGCTTGGGGAAAATGAAAAGTTACCCACAAAGGATTTCTTAGCAGAAACCACACAAGCAAGAAAGCAATGGAATAACAATATAAAACTCTGAAAGAAAAAAAAAAAAGCCAACCAAAAATCATATACCCAACAAAAAGTGTCTGTCAAATATTATAGTGAAATCAGGACATTTCCAGGTAAATATAAATTAAGAAATTTGTGAAAAACAAAACATATCAACCATACAAGAACTACTAATGGGAAAAAAAAAAAAAGAAATACTAAAGAGAGTTCTTTGGGCAGAGAACCAACAACAAGAGATTACCATACAGGAGAACACTACCCACAAATCAACCCAGATATAGAAGTATTCAAGTAAAACAAACCTGCAAGACTG